TTATATTATTAAACCAAATATAAATTACTTTGTTATTGTACATAAATTAAACTATAAAAAATTGAATTAAAAAATTACACAAAAAAATGTGGAATTTCAAATAGTTAATTTGATACTAATATCGATATATTTTTGTCAAAGTTTTATGATATCTTCAAACATATATTTTATTCAAAAATAAAAACATCATCGTTCTCTCAAAATCACATAAAGTCATATTATAACATCGACTGAGATAAAGAATAAAATAAAATATTAAAATCACAATGTATCTTGTTGCATTGCGCAAGTACGCTTCTAGTAACTAAAAAATAAGCTAACATATGTTTGTTAAACAACACTTAATTAGGGACTGCCTTTGTAGTTCGAGGTAAACTACAGGGACCAAAACTGTAATTTACTCCTAAAATATATAAGGATCACATCACATTTTTATATTTCGATGGTGTAGTACAACAATCTGATCTCATCGTCTCCCCAAATCACGAAACCACCTGTTCATCATCACTATGCACAGATTCAAACTCCATCCATCCGTCGATTGAAAACCAAATCAACATTCTTTCTTCGTAAGCCAACAAATTTGATGATGATGATATCCTCATCCTCATCCTCATCCTCACCATCTTCATCTCCATCTTCATCTTCAGCAGTACCGTCGCCATTAATCCCTACAATCATCCTCCTCTTGTTATGCCTTCCAGCTCTCTTTTACTTAGCGCCACACATCCTCCCTCCTCCGCCATCTCCACCCATCTCCTTTCCCGACGAACTCGACGATCTTTCTCTTTTTAGGAGAGCAACTGCCGTGGAATCACACGCGAATAACCCGTCTAAACCTAAATCCCATCTCGGAGCCACCAATTCTAAACCCAAAATCGCCTTCCTCTTCCTCACAAACTCCGACCTTCACTTCTCCCCTTTATGGGAACGCTTCTTTAAGGGCAACAGATCTAATCGGGATCTCTACACTTTGTATGTCCATGCGGACCCAACTGTTAGGACCAAAATCAACATCCCTGGTGGCGTTTTTTCTGAAGATCGATTCATTCCTGCTAAGAAAACTCATCGGGGCACCGCCACTCTCGTCTCCGCCGCTCGACGCCTCCTTGCCACCGCACTACTGGATGACCCATCTAACGCATTCTTCACGCTTATCTCCCAGCATTGCATACCCCTTCATTCTTTCAACTTCTTTTATGATACCCTTTTCGAAGTTAAATCGCATCAAGCAGCCGAATTGAGACACTTGAAGTACAAAAGTTTCATCGAAATAATCTCTAAAGATCCCAATATTTTGAAGAGATACAACGCCAGAGGGAAAAACGTGATGGTTCCTGAAGTGCCATTTGATAAATTTCGAATGGGTTCACAGTTTTTCACACTGACGCGGCGGCACGCACTACTGGTGGTCAGTGATCGGCGGTTATGGAAGAAATTCAAGCTGAATTGTTTGACGCCGCAATCGTGTTACCCTGAAGAACATTATTTTCCTACGTTGTTGTCCATGGAGGATCCAAAAGGCTGTACAAGTTATACATTGACTCGTGTGAATTGGACTAACAGTGTTAATGGACACCCACATACATATCATCCTCCGGAGGTGTCGCCGGAGCTGATTTACAAGCTCAGGCGATCGAATTTCACAAATCCTTACATGTTCGCCAGGAAGTTCTCGCCCGATTGTTTGGAACCTTTGATGAACATGGCCAAAGAAGTCATTTTCCGGGACTGAAGGCTTTTGTGTTATCCGGTAATCCCTCTTAATTCAATTAAATTTCTTACCTTTGATGAATCATTTGGTTGAATGTACCGAGTTAACTCAATCCCAAATTATTGTGGGTTGATGATCTGCCAAATAGATATGGTTAAAAAGCTGAAATTTTGGATCTTTTATGTGTTAAGTCTCTACTTTGGTATATTTGGTGACAGAAAGTGACACTTGTAGGTGTGTTTGTTGTATGTGTCTTTTATTTATTGTGAGTCGTTTGTCTTCTTCTTGTTGTTTAGTAGCACTCTCTGATTAAAATTCTAAACAAAAAGGTATATGCATCAACTAGAAAGGTTAACTTTTGGTCCTTAGTTATTAATAAAAGTATCCATGCTTTAGGTTCGGCTTTCTTCAGTTCTTGGAATTTGCTATTGGTAATCTAAAAGTTATGATGTTGAATCTCAATCCTATCGGTTAATGAATGACTTACCACATGCATGAATGGGCGGGCAACCAGAGTTTTCAGCCTCCCTCGGTTTACCCTCATTGACTGGGGTTTTGCAGGGTCTTAAAAAGAAAAAAGTGACTTCTTGTATGTTGTGTCAATAATTGAATACTGTTTACACCATTTAAGGTTATAAAATAGGAATTTGGGGGGGGGGGCTTCTATGTTGGTTCATAGAATCCTTATTCTATGTGTTATATTTTTCGATTATCTCTTATATTTCCTATCTTATTGCCTGCCTGCACACACCTTATTTTGTGCCCAAGCCGTGGTCTCTCTATGCTGGTGGTTGAGGAAAGGTCTGCCTACATCCTACCCTTCACAGACCCTACTTTCGAGTGTGATATACTGGGTTTGTTTGGTTTGGGGGGATTTCTATGATGGTTCACATTGGAGCAGTAATTGACATAAATTCAACATTTTACCCTCTCAAGGTGTTCTGTAATCCATAATAGCAGCAATCAGTGGTACAGATCTATTAGGAGGGCCAATAACTAAACCATAAGGTCCATTTTGAAGCTAGGAGGGAGCTATGAACCATGAGTCCTACCCATCTTGATCCTTGAATAGGCTGCTTCAAAGGTGCAGGTTTCCAGTGACCAGTGAGATGTGCACCATGGTGCAGCATTGACCGTATATACTGGAGTTGAAACTTAAACCAAACAAACCCAGTATATTCCATTTGTGGTGGGTTCTGGGGAGGGTAAGATGTACCGGAGTTCATGACCATGAAGAAATTGGGGTACAGGTCAATGAAATAAGGAAAAAGGTTTATGAAATTAGAACATCAAGAATATGAGTAATAAGAATATGAGTAAAACTGAAGTCTTACACTACAACGAGAGAGGATGTGGGGTAACACCATACTCAACAGTTTGAACTGATATAATTGCACCAAGTAAAAATAACAACATGATAGAACTTTAGAACCTAAGTTTAAGTTTGTGTGAAGTTTATATATATGATATGTGAATCATAATATAACTACTTTCCTTGATTCATTTTGCTTTAGACTTATATACACATGAACACAAACGTACACGTGTGTTGGATTATTTAGAATCTCTGAATTCTAGTTTCCATATCAGGTATTCTTGTTTGCAACATAGGTTGGGAGGAACAAGTAAATCAAACAAAACCAAACAAGCCCAATATATCCCACTCGAATGTATCTAGGGGGTAGAATGTATGCAGATGTGTCCTCCATTTGAAGATTAGAGCGGCTGTGCAAGAGTGTGAGCTAAAAGGTAAGAAGAACAAAGACTAGTAAAGAGAAAGCAAGAGAAAAGAAGGAAGTACAAGTAGGTACATTGAGCAAAAAATTATGTACATGGAAGCATAGAAAAGGCAAGTAAAAGCACACAACCCTTCCTATCCTATCTGCCAACTCTCTAACCCTCTTACCATCCCACCCTCAACCTCTCCAACTCCCTCAACCCACCCATGCTGTGCTACCTGCCTCTAAGAACTCATATCAGATGTCACTTTGCACAATATTTATTGCCCTCATATTAATTGAATTTGTGGTGCTTTCCAAGAACCATACGACACTTGGCGACGACATGGTACTTAAGTTATTAAATGTGCACGTACACCGAAAGAACTTTTCTGAACATCTTTTAAAAGCTGCTTTTTTCCTTGAGAAAACAAACTTGTACAGAATTTTGTATTGGAAGACAAGTCTACCGAGTAACTTCATGTCCAAAAATCGAGTGTAAAGATGATATTTTGCATGATAACTTATATAGAGGTGCATGCGGTACCAAAGAGATTTTTTTTTGTCAAGGGTAACAAACAGTTGGTTTTTCACTTGAAAAGAGTTTGTACAAGTTAAAATTGGCTCCATGACAGTGGTGGTCTAATTTAGTAACTAAACAACAACTGGCTCAGTAAATCCCACTCGAAAGTAGGGTCTGGAGGTAAGATGCATTAAGACTTAACCTCTACCCCAAAAGAGTGCGGTTGTTTCCATGACGACCCTGTTTGTGCATGAGTGTGAGCAAACAGGTGTCTAACTCCACAAGTATCATTTTTTTTGTAGTTCAAAGGAATGAACCTTGATGACAATTTGTTGTTTCTCGACTGTTGGTTTATCTTTGATCCATAATCAGTTTCTAGCACCAATTGGTACTTTTAAGCTCTTGGCTTTTTTGAGTGTCTTACTGGGATCAAGATGGATGGTGTAGTTACCAGAACTCACGAAGTTCAATTTCTATTCTTGAAAGTAATCTGGATGATTTATATGCATGTTTATGCCCATGAAATATGTAACTACATGCACATGTTGTCACAAGTTTGAGTTATAATCCCGAATCTGTATGTTACAATCGAGATATTAACTATTTGCTCTCTATTCACAGTCACGCGTGTGTCGAGCCCAAAGTGCTGCTGAAAACTGTTTCAAGAACGATGGTGAAGTTTTGGTGTCTAAGGGATTCATGCCAAAAAGCAGAAACCAGTATAAATGGTCAAGCAAATTATGAAGAACAAGAAGAACGCGATGAACAACCAAAGATGTGGGTAGTGGAGGGTGAAAATTGGCTCTGCTAGTCCCCAGCACCTGCAGATTGATGTAGCTAAGTGTTTTTTGGCTTTTGACTGGCTTCTTCTCCATTAGTCTCAAGTGTGTTACTCTTTCCTTTGTTCATATGAGTTTCAACACTCCATTTCTTTGACAAATTTTTTTGGAGTAAAGTTACGTATTTGTCCGATCGACTTTATTTATCTTGTTATTTTTTAAAATTTAAGAATGGTATCAAAAGTTATATTTTTGTATGGAATAGAAGTTCTTTCTTTCCATTCGAGTGAAATATGATTGTTCGGCATCTTAACCCCCCTCCCCGGACCATTCCCCACCTCGAGGTCGACCCTCTTCTTAAATAACTTGGGAGTTACTCTTTCTAGGTTTTTCCATAGGATCCTTGCTCTAGCCTCCCTTGCTTCTGTTCGACCTGATATACGTGTCATCTATTCTAGAAGGAATAGAGGTTAGGCGGTAAGTCAGTCTTTTAACTTGTGTGAGTTGTTGAGGAGTCGGTTATCTCTATTCAATTGTATAGATAGGATTGGGGGAAATTAACGAGGTATGCGTTTGTATAGATAGAATCGGGGGCAGATTAATAAGGTATGCTTGTAATGAACAAATTTATTAGAGTCTCAACCTCTCGAATGTTGAGATAATTGAATGCCATTAGAAGTTTTGTTCATCGATTTATTTACATTCTTTGCTGAGTAAAGGTCAACAAATGGTATGAAAGCGAGAACTCAAAGTCTGGTAACAACGAGGATGGATGAATTGGAAGATAATTTGTGAGTGCATCGGGCGAAGGTGACAAACCTGGAAGAAAATTTTCCGACAATCATGGCACAATTAAGTACGCTTTTGCGATTTCAAGAGATTGTCGAGGAATGAACTGGGAGAAAGGCGAGAGCGTAGCTGTGATAGAAATCAAGAATCAGTCCCATTCTTAGCTATAAAAAAGGTGCTAATTGGAGACGTTGTATTCGACGAAACTGATCTCTACGGGTAGATTTTACGTGCAGATGGATACAGGACGCTAAATCGTTTAAGCAACGACAAACAGAAGTAGTTTAAGCAACGGCAAACAGTAGTAATTATCGCCTTTGAAGGGGATGCTCTTCGATGGTATCAGTGGGAATGCAAAAGATGCCCAATTACAAATTNGGGGGGGGGGGGGAGATCTTAACTCTTCAGAGGTTTTTGGTCCAATTCAGGTCCAATGTGAAAGGTACCTTTTTTGAGCAATTTTTATTTATGTCAGTCAAACAGGAAGGAACGAATGAAGAATACAAAAGGATGTTTGTGGAGATGGCGACACCATTGGATGGAACTTAGAGGAGGGCATGTAAGTCAATTCTTAAACCGTATATTACTGGAAATTCGAGTAGATGTTAGATTTCTCTTGCTAGATGGCTTAAACAAAGCAATGGAGATGGCCATGATGGTGGAAGAAAGAAATTGAACGAACCCCATCCCGGCTGATCTAGGACAATTCTGTCACACACACACATATGCATAAATTCAAAAGAACGTCAGTTGTAGGAGGTTGGAAAAACATATACAGAACATGTTAAGTACATTACATATGTAAATCCAAAAGGTTAAACATATCTACGAGTTCATAACTGAAAGAGAAACCGTCACCAGGCAGTATTATCCTAAAAAGTCGCTCCCGTCACTCTCGTCATTTTAACCCAGTCTTGAGTCTATATCATATACTTTTCGTGCACAAGAAAAAACACAAGGCTGAGCGAGTGACAGATAACAAAAGCAATAGCAATTTCAAGAATAAACCAATAAAATTGATTGTTGCGGAAATAATTATTAAACATTGGAATGTCCATTATGGATTAGCCGAATAACCTCTTTAACTTTTTGGCACTGGAATTCCATAGGATTGACTTCTAGGTGTCTTAATTTAATTGTTCATTTTATGAACTTTTTTTATGATTTTTTGAAAGTGAAATACATTGAGAAACTAGAAACTCATATTTGATTTAATAAAATTGGACTTCATGACTTTGATGTTGTTTTCCGAACAACGGACTTGGGGGCATCTTTGTCTGGATGCTACCATAGTGGCTACAAAGACTATGACGTCTTTAATGAACGTCCCTGTACTCGGCCTTTACGGAATAGGCTACCGAGGACATATGAATCGATCCTAGAACTAGTTCCAGAAAACTTGAGGTCGTGGTTAAATCCACAATGGGACTTAGGTAGTTTTTGCCTGTACCCCTATTTCCCAACCGTCCGAATGGTTTAGCCAACCATCGGACAACGTGTCTTTGTTGCACGAAATGTGAATTTAAATGATTGGAGACTTGGCTTCTAACTTTTGAGACACTGATGTCGACTTCCTTTGTTTTGGATTTGTGGTTGTTTTCGAGTTATATTTCGGATTATCATGATTTCTGATTATTGATTCATTGAATATATATATATATATATATATATATATATATATATATAATTCAATTGACTTGATTTCAATGTCCAATAATTATTTCTGATGCACTCGATTTTATTGGTTTGTTTTTGAAATTGCTATTACTTATGTTATCCGTTCACTGAGCGTGACGCTCAGCCGTGTGTTTTTTGTGCACGACGGGTATATGATGTACACCTGGACAGGGTTAAAGTGATGAGAGTGAGGGAAGCAACTTTTTAGGATAATCCTGCATAGTGACGATTTCTCTTTTGGTTATGAACTCGTAGCTATGTTAACTTTATTTATTTACATATGTAATATACATAATACTTAGTATGCTCTCTATTTTTTTCCAACCTTCTTCTACGTATGAGGTTCTTTTGAATTTATGTATGTGTGTAACTTGTCCTAAATCACACAGGTATTGGGCTATGCTGTTAATATCGCGATAGATCGTTGATATATCGGATATCAGACCTAGGCAAAATATCGCTGCATAAATATCAGTCAAAATATCGTTCCGGATATTATCGGCGATATTTTGATATATATCGGACCGATATATCGATTTTTTAGGGTTCAATTACTTGGGCTTTTGTTATTTCATGGGCTTAGTTTTTTGGGCTTGGTAACATATTATTAGGTCAGAAATTAATAGTTTGCCTTCCAACGGTCTTCTTCATTTCTTTTCATCTTTACGAGTTACGACCTCACACTTACAAACACCTAGTTCACTTCACGAATCACGACTTCAGACTTCTCACAACTTCAGACTTCTCACGGAGTCACAGTTTGACTTCTTTTCTCGGATGCCGAACCTATTGCTTGCGATTAGCTCGTTTTTGAACACTTTAGATGATGTGATGTTTTAATTTTGAAACTATATTTCTAAACTCTAATTAATGCATATTATATATATAATTCTAAGAAATATTATGTTAACCGCTATTTTGGACCGATATATCACCGATATAGCCGATATATCGAATATCGGTCCTGACGTATATTTTGTATATAGACCGATATAACAGCATAGGACATGGGTCGTTACAATTATGGTATCAAAGCATAGGATTTGACCTATAGTCCATTATAGACTTGATTTGTGAGTATTATGTAGGAATACGAATGGGTAGTGTAGGAATTCTCTAGGTTGATTATTTCAATTCCAAATTAATGTGTTGATCCATACTCTCTCAAGTGATTTAATGATGATCCTTTTATACCTAACAAAAAAAATACTTAGTTATGTTTTATTCAATTTCAACGATCATTACTGAGTTTGTTCAGTGATCACTGAACATGTATTCTAAACTTCTCTAATAAGCCAAATATTATTCAAGAAGACAAAACTCACACCAAAAGAACCTTCAGCGATGTCGAAGACAAAGCTGAAGATAGAGACAGACAGTTCATGATCTGATGCGGTTTTCAGTGATAACAAAGATGTCTACAATCAAGTGTGAAGTCTGTTCTAGATTCAGCGAACACTGAAGAAACTTTAGAGTTATTTCAGTGCCAATGATCAAATGCATCTTGTTGTACAACATTAGATTTTGTCTTATCCTCCTGCACACAAAGGACAAACCCATACCTCTCAAAGTAAAGCACATGTATGAAGTTACTCTATTGTCTCAAAACGTGCTTATGTATTTTGTGAAAGACTATTGTTCATATACGGCCAAAAGTCTGTATATCTAAAGACACATGACAAACTCGCCTCTAGAAACTTGCCACGTGCTGTGTACCTTCTGACTTGTATTTAATGCAATGAGTATAAATATCCATGGAGACTCTCTTCTCTATATCTTCTTGATTCCGTGAAGTTAACTTACTTCAAGCAAAGAACAACATATACATGCAAAACTGAGCTTACTTTAAAACAAAGTTACAGCATCTTCTTAATCAAGTTTTTTCTCTCTTGCTTTTCTGTATCTTGTATGCTGTCTAGATTGCTTTGATAAGTTTTGTATCTTATCTTCTTCCACAAACAATCTGTAAATTATGTATTGATCTTCTCATATGAATAAAGGAGTATAAAAGTGAAATTTTGTGTGTTTGTATTCATCCCCCTTCTACAAATTGTTACTTTTAAACTCTTGTAGATCTTTCTGGAACCAACAAATGGTGTCAGAGCAGTGTTTATCATCTCCTTTCTTTAAGATAATTTATTAGCCATTCTTTCTAGAATTGCATTGCAAAACACAAGCACCAACTTTCACGATAATGGCTCTTTTGCCAAACCTTCCCGATTTATCTGAGACAACTTTAGTCTTTGGAAGAATCGGATGTCCCTTTTCCTGGAAGGTGTGGATCCTGAGATTCTACACTATATTGAGAATGGACCTTATGTTCCATTCACAATATCTCCAGTAGTTCCTGCAACTGCTATGACTGCCGCTATACCTGAGAGGCAGATTCTGAAACTCCCTCATCAATTGAGTGACAAAGACAAGAAGGAGATGACTTTAGATACTAAAGCTAGATCTATATAGCGATGTCTCTTCCAAACGAGGTTTATTATTCCGTGATGAAGCTAAGAACCTCGAAATCCATGTGGGACACTCTATGTGTTCAAGATGAAGGTACATCTGATGTACAAGAGTCGAGGAAGATTAATCTAGTAAGACAATATGAAAGTTTTACCTATGGAAAATCTGAATCATTGCCTGAAGTATATCAATGTTTTAATTGTCTTCTTATCGACCTTAGGACAGTTGGAAGAGAATATTTTATAGGAACCCAGATTCCTCTTAAGTATCAAGAAACACAGTAAAATCAGAGATTGAATGGAAGCAAGACTATGTAATTGAAAATGGTT